GCCTTGCAACATACTGGAGGGTAGAGGGGAAAAGAGTAATATTTATTGAACAATTACTTTATACACATACATACAAACATACTCCTACATACATATATGTACACATGTGCACATGTGCACACACAGCTTATCTTCAAAATAACCCTGACAGGGAGACATTATCATCTTCAATATAAATAAGAAAAGGTTCAGAGAGTCTAATCAATATTTGACTATAATCATACAACTACCAAAGTTCCCAAGATGAGATTCAAGTTTGTGGTTCCCAAAGAGATGGATCCAGTCACAATATTATACTCTCATTCCATAAAAGAGAGTCTGGCATGTGCAAAGACCATTCTTGGCAATTTTTATGAATGAGTATGTGAACATTTTCTAGGAATTCTACTTTAAGCACATAAAGGTTCAAGTTTTCTCATGCCCAGGATTTAATAATAATATTCTCAAAGTGTTGGTAAGTCATCTAACCCTTCTGGTTTATGAAAATTCCACTTTAAATACCAAAGGAGTACTATTTATTTATGCTGTGGAGTCAGACAAGATTGAAGTTGACATGGTCATAGCAAGTAATCAGCTTAAATGTTTGGAAAGAGCCTATGTGTGTGAAGAACTTTTGTTGCCAAGGAAATTTTCATGTAATGCAAATCATTTTCTATACCCTTTGACATGGGAGTGAAACATCTATCTCTCTTTCATTTTCATTCATCCCCAAAGCATTTTGCTGCCTTAGAAAATCATCTGAAGGTCAGTTTTGATTGCTCTAACTCTGAAATCTGTTGTGTTCCTGATAGCATGCAGAGTTTTAGATGAAATCACTAATATTCACTAAAAAAATATTAAATTGTCATGAATTACAAGGTTCTTTGAGAGTGCTGTAAATGAGGCAGTTTATGATCTTTGTGGTTCCTCCAAGAACAACAGGATTTAAAATCCTAAATTAAAATCCACCACTGAAAGGATCAAATGCACTGTCAGTGCTTAACTGATCAAAGTGACCATATAGAAAATCCATGAATTCAAAAATGTAAGATGCTATTCGGAAATAATTCTTTTTTCATGTGTCATTTCAAAATTGTTACTACTCTTGTCCTTTGTCTAAATAGACATATAGACTGTTGGAATATTATTGTAACAATGACAATTCCGAAGAAAAATGACAAAAGGAGAGCAATGAGCATATATCTAGTTTGAATATTTTTTAAAATATGCTTTAAATATATGTGCCTTAGAATCAGACTTTGTCTTTATGAAGCCTATTCAGAATACATGGAATTTTATATATTTTACATTCAGTGCTGTGTGGAATATAACAACTTATCCCTGCTCTGTTCTCACACCACCATCAACATAGAATGCTTCGATGAACAAGCAATTCTGTAGCATTAATATCCTGCAACCCAGTTCAACTCTTGCACTATATACCTGGAGGAAGTGGCAGATTCCACAGGTGAGGGCTCAGTCCCCAAGGCTGCCCCCCACTTCTAACACCAATCACAAGCTTCAGGGTATTTTGCTTGTGCTTGTAACCCACTGGCTATAAATTGGGGTTCCTGTGACTCCCTCCTTGGGTTCAATTAATTTGGCAGATCAGCTCACAGAGCTCAGGAAGCACTTATTTTTACTGATTTATAATACAGGATATTGCAAAAGATACAGATGAAGCAATGCATAGGATGAGACACATGGAAAGGGGAGCGGAGCTTCCATGTCCTCCCTAGGTGTCCCACCCTCCAGGAACTTCCATGTGTTGAACTACCTGGAGCTCTCCCTGTAGTGCCACCACCACCGCACCATGGCCTCTTAGACCCTCTCTAGTGACTTCATTGGATAGGGATGACTGAAGCTGGGACAACCATGTAGAAATGTGATTTTAAAAAAGGAATGTGATTTCATACTAATTGACTGAGTGAGGAAACCCAACAAGGCTGCCTATTCAGAGTCTTCTTGGCCTCTCTCTGATGCATTCATTCCTCTAGGGTATGGGGCAGGACCCCTTCTAAAATAAGGGTCTCATGACCCACAATCAAACAAGGAAGGTCAGAGAATTTCCTTATGGCCAGCTCTCGGACAGAAAAGTGGAGGCAGATTAGAGTATATTTTTAGTGTCTCTGAACAGGTAAAAGCAGAACATAACAGAGACAGACCTTGTTTTCTGAGGCCTACTTCTGTAGCCTAAAGCTCCCCAATATTGTAGCAAAAGACTATGCTTCACCTGTATCGCTCATAAACTGTTCGAAGCTGCTTCAGGACCCTAGGACAAAAGACCAATACTTTAACAAAAGAAATGCTTATTGTGTTAGTCACGAAGGAAATAACAAGGGCTATGGAAGTTATAAGCCAGGAACTGTAGACAAAAACGTGTGCGTGCGCGCGCGTGTGTGTGTGTATCAATATCAAAGTGCTCTTGAAATCCTGTCTTAAAATGTTATAATTTAATTATGTCTCTTAAACAGAGTTCATATATCTATTACACAGCGTCCATCACTTGGGGGTCCTGGTCAATTAGCAACAGCTCTAAGTTGGAAGTCTTTGCCTAGTTTGCAGAATAACTTCATTTTACTATTCCCTACATTTTCCACTTCGCTCTGTCCTCCACAATTCTATGTGGTTCACATCAGCAGCCTCCATTCCCCTCTGGCTTTTAGTTAGTTGATTTCAGCTGCTAGGAGAGACCCACCAACCATCTTAAGGGCAGGTGGAAAAGGAAGGCAGAATATTTAATTCCCTGATCCCTGTATCCATGTAGAAGCAGCCTCAAGCTAGCTGCATCCCTCCACGAGTAGTCATAGCTTCTATCAGGTGATGCTTCTCATACAGTCCTTTCTGTCCCTGAGTTCTGTCCCCCTTTAAGCTAGACATAGTGTGAAGAGTTAACGTAGCAAGACTGACTGCTTATTTTTAGAAAGGCCTGCTTACAAAGATGGCCTTTGGCTGGCATCTGGATTCCCCACCATTCCCAGAACTGATAAGAGAGGACCACTGCACTTAAACATTTGTACAAATGATATGGTTTATGCTTAACACCTGCTTTCCTTGTGGGGGTCTTAAATTTGGGTAAATGCCAGATAGAGGCTGCTCATATGAACAGCCCCCAGTAAAACCCCTGTGCACTGAGTTTCTAAGGAACTTCCCTGATTGGCAACACTTTAGACACATTTTCATAATGCATTGCTGGGAGAATTAGGCACGTTCTCTCTCTACAAGAAGAGAATTCTTGGAAGCTTGTGCTTGGTTTTCCCTGGACTTCGCTGATGTGCCTTTTCCCTTTGTTGATGAATTCTTTAATCTTTCATTGTAATAAATCTTAGTTATGAGTCGGACTATATGATGAGTCCTGTGAGTCTTCCTAGTGAATCATTAGACACTGGGTTCAGGGTTGGCTTGAGGACCCTGACATAAATAGTGAAAGAGCTCTGCTGTTTCTATACCTGAGAGTACTGCACCATCTCTTTTGCCCACTCTTTTGAAAGTAGTTTCTTTATTAAGCCCTCCCCAGATTACTCTTTTTGAGTGTGCTTTCTTTTAGTGAGGCTTCTAGTGACTGTAGGTATTTCATGTAAATATTTATTTATATTTATGTACATCAAATGTAGATATGTACATGAAGATATGTATATTTACATGAAATATCTACATTCAAACATTTTTATTATATATATAATATAATAAATATATACACACATTATATATATATATATATACAGAGAGAGAGAGAGATATGGAGTTTTGCTCTTGTTGCCCAGCCTAGAGTGCAGTGGCACGATCTCGGCTCACTGCAACCTCTGCCTCCTGGGTTCAAGCGATTCTCCTGTCTCAGCCTCCTGAGTAGCTGGGATTACAGGCATGCACCACCATACCAGGCTAATTTTGTATTTTTAGTAGAGACAAGGTTTCTCCATGTTCCTTAGGATGGCCTCTAACTCCCCATTTCAGGTGATCCACCCACCTTGGTCTGCTAAAGTGCTGGGATTGCAGGCGTGAGCCATCTCACCAGGCTAAATATATTGTTAATTATTTGATGGATTCTTTTCTGTACATGATATTTACATATTTCTTAACAAAAAGATGAATGGTTTAAAAGTAAGGTAACACAGCAACCTGTACCCTCAATATCTTATTTAACGAGAATATTTGATTAGGTTGTGCTTCTCTAAATGGATGGAGGATTGTGCAACTTGTTTAAACCAGAAAGTAGTAGTACATACACTGGTGATTGATTGTCCTTAAAAATATTTAGCTGTTGTTTTTACCTTTTTGTCTGGGGGAGAAAAAGAAAGCCCACTCTCAAAAGTAGGGAGACTAAGGAAAATTTACACTGACAGAACATAATTTTTTCATGATATATATTTATATTATAGAAAACATCACTAAAGTGGTATGTTCTTTGCCTGATAAGCAATCGTATTACATCTTAAAAACACTTCTAACAGGTGATGGTACATTCATATAGTATATTCAAATAGTTTCTTGGTAATATTTAGATTATTTAACTTCCATAGCTATTTATATCACCAAACATCATTCTTTCTTTTACACTGTGCTCTCTGAAGCAAGATAAAGCATTGTGCTTAATGGAATGGAAAGCTTCCTTTTAAAAATCCAAAAATTATGCTGCTTAAATTTCAAGTATTAATGGAACTTACATCATTTTAAAAATTAACTATGTAAAAAATAAGTGTTATACATCCTTGGATAGTTTCTCAAAAAGAAAAAAAGGCAAAGAAATAAATGCTTAATGTAGACTATTGTGTTTTTTTTTACTTTCATCTATATTTATGACCACTGCTTTGACCTAAAAAGTTTTTTTATGCTTATAGATAAAAAGCTTTGTTTTAGAGAACTCATGAACCCTTTGTTTATTAATGTCTTGGTAAACCACATGTCTTTTTGATAAAGTAATCCTGAATCAGAAAGGCCTCTTTGCTGGATATCTTACTTTGGTTTGCTTTTGTGTTTATTGATTGCTTTTGCTAATAAATGCTCTCTCCATTGTAATTTAGCTCCATTCCAGCAACCTCCACCCAGAGGACAAGTTCAAAGTTCTTCTGCTATCAATCTCTCCTGGAGTCCACCTGATTCTCCAAATGCCCACTGGCTCACTTACAGTTTACTCAGGGATGATTTTGAAATCTACACAACAGAGGATCAATACCCATACAGTGAGTTTAAGAGTTTGGTAATAGAAAGAAATATTCTGAGAATTGACACATTAGTTAAGTTCGTTGACATGAGGATAAATGCTGTTGTTGTTTCCTCTGTCTGGCACAGAGTATTTCAAACAGAGAAAAAATTACAAATTTCACTTGCAATCAAAGAAATGCAGTAAGAATGAGATGCTTATTATCTGATAAATACTAATGCTTATCAAATTCTCAAAGAAAAAAAATGACCCCTTCCAGAATTGATGGGAATGTAGGGAAGCTTGAACTTTTATAAACTGCTGGTTGTCTGTGTGAGTTCATTAGTACAACTTTTCATGCACAATAATTTGTTAAAATGTATAAAAAATCGTTCCTTTTAACATAACATTTGATTTAGCAAACCTACTTTAGGAAGTTTATCTCAAGTGAATAGTCATAAATGGACACAAAAGCTGTCCATACCTAAACTATTTGTAATAGCAAAATACTGAAAATGATTCAGATGTTCAACAGAGTTTCAGTAAATTATAGTATATGGCATAACAGAATCCTGGTCCATTGTTAAATAAATTATAGGCTATGATAGCCTATAAACTAATATCTTAGTTCATATATCAATAAACAAAAAATGTTTATGACTTACTGTTTAAGACAGGGGTCCCCAATCCCCAGGCTGTGGACAGGTACTGATCCGTGACCTGTTAGGAACAGGGCCACACAGTGGGAGGTGAGCAGCAGGTGAGTGAGCATTACTGCCTGAGCCCTGCCTCCTGTCACTTCAGTGGTGTCATTAGATTCTCATAGGAGCACGAACCCTATCGTGAACTGTGCATTGGAGGGATCTAGGTTGCATGCTCCTTATGAGAATCTAACAATAAATATAATGTGCTTGAACCATACCAAAACCATCCCTCCTCACCTCCCTGTGCTTGGTTGATGGAAAAACTTTTCCATGAAACCAGCCTCTGGTGCCAAAAAAGTTGGGGACCACTGGTTTAAGGTAATTAAAAGTTATTAAAATAATCTGAGAATTATACTATTTTAATTTACAAATACTGGAAGACATAAATAGATCTAGTTTTCTCTAATTGTAAATATTACAGAAATTTTATCAAATATTTCTATTATAATGAATTCAACTTTTAAAATTCTCAGCTTAAAAAAACCATTAAATCTGGAAGTAGAGTACTAACGCTGAAGCAACTGTGTAATTTAATACGCACATTGCTATTTCCACAGAAATAGAACACAGCAACATGAACTTTTGAAAGAGGAAGGATATAAACAAGCCATCAAGCCTATCTTTACCGTTGTTAACTTTTATGAAGCTTTTAAAGGAACTTGTAGAAATCAAATTAATAGAATTAATTGTCTTTAAAAAATTTTACTCAGATGTTTTAGTTTCCCTAAAGACAGAATGAGAAATATTAACTTTTACATTATTCTAGCTCTATCTTCTCTGATTTTTCCTTCTAGCCATGTTTAGCTACACGCTAGTTTAAGAAACCTCGGAACAGCAATTCCAATTCAAGTTTCTATTCTGTTCTCTTCATTTAATACAGTTTTCCAAATTCTGCTTTAACCATGGTTAATTAGTTAGAGAACTGTATAACGCTATGTCAAAACACTGAAATTCCATAACCTTCCTTAAAATGGCTAGCAGGATGCCTTGTTTTAACATATTAATTGACTTTAAAATTCCTGCATAGCATAAAGTTTTTATACATGATACTGGGTTCCATTTTGTACCTAATTCATATGACTTGAATTTAGCTTCTTATGTCCATCCCTTTCTCTTAGCTCTACATGTCTCTTCTTTATTCCAAGTCTTCTTTAAAGTTAATGGAAACTCTGAACTTCATGATGCAGATTGCAAAGGGAAATGAACATCTGTCTACATCTGCCATGTTGGCAAAGCATCCTAAAAACCTGCTACTAGAATGTTTATTTTCTTCCAAATATCAGCATGATCCAGGTGTCCTGAAACTTAAATTTTTGTGATAGAGAAAGAGAGGAGTTATAAAAATATTGAAAATGATTTTGAAGATGACAATACCACTGGTTGAATTATTTCTGAAGTTGTGAATTAGGGTCACCGTATTTTCCCTACAGCTTCATGCAATAGCAAAATTAAACTTAAAACTGTCAATGATATTATTCAAGCCAGAGGCATGTTTTCCATAGTAACATATTGTGATCTATTTTATAGAACATTACATGTAAGTACAACACTCTGGCTGTTTTTCACAATTGCACTAATATGGAATCCAAATAACAGTTTCTTACATAATAAATGTGTATTCATTCACTAATCAGACATTTATATAATCCTATTAAACAAGGTATTATTTCCTAAAACCTTATTTTTCATTAAAAATGCCACTTCTGGCATTTCTTGACAATCACTGTAATTAATGATGTGAAAATTATCTGCATGATGGCATTTGAACAGTAAGAACAATTGGTTAACACTGTCAGAACTTTGTATCATTCTAATAATAGCCTCATGTTTGTTACCCTATTTCTAGTGCGTGGCTAGCATGTGTAATATGTAAAGGAAACACTACTTATATTCAGCTGGATGAACACAAATCTTTGGGTTAAATAAAGGCATTAGGAATTATAGGTGGAGAATCATTGAACTTTTCAAAGAAAATTAATAGTGTTGTCTTCCGAGCAAGTTTGATCGTTTGTCTGAGACCTTTATAGAATTTTTTTTTAGAATGGAAACTTTTTCTAGCTAGCCTGATGTACTATGGGGTTTTCTAAGACAGTATTTTCCATCCTAGGATCATGATATACTGGTGTACCATCTTTAAGGCTTTCAAATTATTTGTTATTAGTAACAGCAAGCTAATAATGGTGAATAATTTTAAAGATTGTGAACTTTAAAAAACAAGGTGTATCTTTATGTTTTATTTAAGGTAGAGGTCAAGCTTAGCACTTTGGGAATCATACATAATCAGCCCTACGTTATCCCTCCCATAGCCCCATTCTGGGTTGCTCATAAGTATCTTATGTGTCATGGGGAAGGAAGTGAACAGTTACTGGAGGAAATAGCACTCTTGTGTTAGTGTTGCAGGTTTAGAGAATGGACGGTATTTCATACTGTTTTTTGGTATTGTTCCTATTTGTGTTTGGAATTGAAGGAGCACCAGACATCGTAGGATTATCGAATTTAAAAATAAAAATGATCTTCATTACTGATGAAAGTCAGATTAGAGACAATATCCTCTTCCCTGCAGGAAGACAAATTAGAAGACAGAAAAATCAATGGGCTGATCTGAACATAATTAGCTCCCTACCCCCTAACTCCCCAGATTCACAGTCACACGAGTTGTTCCTTATTTGGGATGGCATGAGTGGGAAAGATAGCCCCTAAATGTCACGTTAGAGAAATTCTTCCTTGGGAAACTAGAGGATGATTATTTTTACATGCAACAATGGTTTCTATCATCTATAGCTATAAACATAGTTAATAACTCTAAACTTTTAGCGTTTTAGACAACCAAATATTTTAATGAGCCCTGGTATTTCATTTCTACCCTTATTATTCATTTCCATCTTTAATGTGACAATTCATGCCATACTACATCAAGGGATCAATGTAACAAGTGGTAAGATGGTTCAATTATCTCTGAGAGGAGTAAATGAACAAACATAAGATCTAGAGATGGGATGAGAAAGAAAATAGAAGAGAAGATGACAGGCAACTGTTTTTATAAGGTTCTTGATATTCTTAATGCAGTAGTTTCACCTCATCCGCGGTTTTGTTTTCTGTAGTTTGTGATCCACGGTTAACAATGCTCCCCCAAATAGGTGAATTGACAGTACAATAAGATGTTTTGAGAGAGCGAAGCCATATTCACATAGCTATTATTGTGGTATATTGTTATAATTGTTCTATTTTATTTTTAGTTATTGTTGTTAATCTCTCACTCTGCCTAACATAAATTAAACTTTATCATGGATATGTATATATAGGAAAAAGAACAGTATATATATCTGATTTTATCTATCTATATATACACTGTTCTTTTTCCTATACATATGTGTGTGTGTGTAGGTTATATATATTATATATGTAGGTTATATGTTTTATATATATAGGTTTATATATATGTTATATATAAACATATATAGATATAGATATATATATAGATATAGATATTTTCCAGGGTTCATTCTTAAAGGGGAAATAAAAAGTGGGGGAAAGAATCCTTCTCAGAGGGAGCTTTGGTGCAAAGAATCTAAAGGGAAACCTAACACTAACAGAAGAGTGCTATTTCCTCCAATAACTGTTCACTTCCTTCCCATGACACATAAGATACCTATGAGCAACCAAGAATGGGACTGTGGTAGAGATAATGTAGGGCTGATTATGTGTGATTCCCAAAGTGGTAGCTTGACTTCTACCTTAAATAAAACATAAAGATATACCTTGTTTTTTAAAGTTTATATATATATATATATAGTTTAGTACTATTTGTGGCTTTAGGCATCCACTGGAAATCTTGGAATGTATCTCCTGTGGATAAGAGGGGACTATTATATGCTTAACTGGAACAATAGATTAGATATGTAGAGAAAAAGCATTCATGTGTTTAATAAAATTTTGTTCAATGCTTATTCCAAACTAGAAACTGTATCAGCCGCTAGAAATACAAAGTTGAAAGGAATAGTTCTCCTTATTGAGTGGGGAGACATATAAGTAAACCAAAATGACAATATAATATATAAATGTTGAATCAGAGTAAACCTGGGGTGTTAAGAAAGCTCAGGGTATTGTGGGAGATGTAAAAGAGGTAACCGTGTTTGTGGTGGCAATGATGGTAACTGAGAACCACTGATAATTTCCCAGTAAGGAGGGAATATAAGCCAAATTGGCTCAGATACTGTAGTTGAGAAAGAGTGACGGTCATGAAATAAATTTTGTATTAAAAGACATGGAAATATATGAGAAAACAAGATACATTCAGCAATCATGGGCAGTTCCGTGTAGCTTTGGTAGGTGGTACATTGGGGGAGTGCTACAATCCAGGGCGGTATTGGCCAAGATCATGAATCAGTGCTGAGCCAAAGGAGTGTGAATGTTACTCTGAAAATGCAGAAGTCTGCAGTAACAGCAAATTTTCAGACTCCGAGTTGAAGATCCCTACCCCACAAAGGAGAGCAACTACTTTGAGATAAGTGCTCTTTTAACCTGAGTATTACTTTTATGTTATGATACCATGAATGGGTATCCTATTTATACCCTTTCAAATGCTTTTATTTAGATCACACTATAAATCGCCTTATACAGTATTCCTACACAAATGCATATTCCCATCCCGATTGTATCTGATTCTAATTTCTTATTAGACTGCTCTTGTATAATACATTCTCTTCTATTAGGATTATATTCCATTTTTCAGCTGCTACAAACATCCAGCAAGTACTGTACTTCTTTCGATTGTCGTCAGGTT